TCCTTTTTCCTCCTACAAACAGAGTTCACATTGTGCAAAGTCTTACTGAGGCAATTTTAAGTTTTATGGGAATACCAAAAAGTTTGTGTTTTATTAAGTAAAGGTTTAAATGTTCACCTGAAAAACAGTATTTTGTGTGCACATATAAATTGCCTTTGACTGTTCTATCTGTTTTCTTGGATTTAAAATGTGGGTAAGATTAGTGACCTTTCACACAGAGAGAAATTTCACTAGGTAGTACCTTTGGAGCATCAGCACTGGGTCCACTCCCTCAAGCCCTTCTCATTTTTTTAAACCTCAGGATGACTGTCAGATAGCTGAGACACACATTTGTATAGGCTGTTGCAGACACCTTCTAAATATTTGTTCCAAGCTATGCAAAAAAATTTTATCAGAAGAGGGGGAAACATGATTCTGCTAAGCTTTTGCTCCCTAAGAGGGAAAATATGAAGTGTGACCTCCCCACCCTTGCCCAAACACAAATAATTAAATAAGGAAGTATGTTCCTTTCTTCCAAATTTTCTACAAACTGACTTGTAGAATTAGATGCTCTTCATTTGTAAACGTCTGTCACCTTCCTTCATTATATTTTCCTGTTTTAAAAAAAAAATAATTTTTATAATTGCATAAAAAATACCTGTTTCACCCAAGGCTTTAGAGTTTTTACACACAAAGCATCTAAGCCAATGCATCTTTGTCAACACACAAAAAATCCCCAGGGTACATGAGCTAATGACACACCGCCATGCTTCCTCAACAAATAGCAATTCCTATAGTGCCTTTCCCTATTCTGTAGCTCACAAAAGGAGCTCGGTCTTGCATCGTGCTCTGCTCCAAAAACTAAAATTAATAGAAAAAATACTTCAAAGGATAAAAATACATTTTGAAGTTCATCACAGAAAACTCCATGAGAGGTTTTATACCCCATATTATTCTTCTACCACTGTGAATCCAGGCTCAGCACCTCAGTTGACCATAGAGACATAGAAAGAGAAAACAAGTGCCGTAAGTTTTAATTGAAAAGCTGTCATTTTACACTATACTTGACCATCAGGAGGTCATCAAAAAAACAAGCAGAATATTGGATCCATGCTCCAGCCAAGATACATCTCTAATGTTAATTGTATTTATCCCTTTTAGAAAGCAGGAGGCTCTTGCTTTAGGAAGAAAATACAAAGAATTAGCATGCGAGGGGAGGGAAAAACTTTCAAGCTGTCCTCAAGAATCTCATCTTTCATCTGAAAAGAAAAACTAGTTTAGACTTGGGAAAACCTTTTCTAAGGAAACCAAACCGTTATCTGTGATGCAGAAGTGTTCTTGAGTCCCCAAAGACCTTGAAATGTTTATCTTCACAATAGGCTGCCCCATGCATCTTTGAAAACACTAACTGTTTATTCAAGGCATGAAAGAAAGGAAAAGATGAATTATATCAGAGCAGTAGACTTGAGAAAGGTTAGAAGAAAATGACACAGAGGGTTAGGGAAGCAGAGAGAGAAGATGTTATCAACATGAAGTACAGTTGGAAGGAAGTCACAAAATAAGCATTTTTTTCTCAGTTTTTAAGTTTGGGAAACATTATCTAGGAGCAGCTGAGCTCTGTGTACACACATGTGTGTACTCCAACATACATGTGGAAGATGCCATGTGTGGACTGATGATGCCAACCACACTCCAGAAAATACATCACTGGGGAAACTTCACCCAAGCTGATGACCAGCCCATATAGTAAAAATCGCTAAAATTTTTACCACATTTTAGACAAAGATACTGTGTTGAGCTTGTGTGTGCAGCAGGGATTTGGTAGCAGGGGAGGGTGCTACAGCAGTCCCCCTGTGAGAAGCTTCTCGAAGCACCCCCAGCTCCAAGTCAGACAAACATCTGGCCCAGGCTGAGCCAATTAGCAACCGTGGCCGCATCTCTGTGATAATGTATTTAAGAAGGGGAACCTGGGAGGACGAGTTGGAGTTGTGAGGAGGAGTTGTGAGGAGGACACCTATGCGAACACCAGCGTCAGTGGGAGAAAGCAAGTGAAAGGGAGGGAAGTGTGCCAGAGCAGAGACCCCACTGCAGCCCATGGTGAAGGGCAGGCTGTGCCCCTGCATCCATGGACATAACTGGTGGAGCAGATGCTGACCTGCAGCCCATGGAGGACCCCACGCTGGAGCAGGTGGCTGTGCCCAAAGAAGGCCCGGACTCTGTGGGAAGCAGCCCTCGCTCCTGTAGTTCAGTACTGGAAGGATTGCAACATGTGCAAGGGACCCATGTTGGAGCAGTTTGTGAAGAGCTGTAGCCCACGGGAAGGACTCATGTCAGAGAAGTTTCGTGGAGGACTGTCTGCCATCAGAGGGACTCCACACTGGAGCAGGGGAAGAATGTGAGGTGTCCTCCCCCTGAGGAGGAAGGACTGGCAGAGACAATAGGTAACAAAGTGATTACGACCCCCATCCCTGACCCCTTGCACCGCTAGGGGTGAGGAGGTAAAGAAATCCGGAGCAAAGCTGAGCCTGGGAAGAAGGGAGGAGTGGGGGGAAGGTGTTTTTAAGATGTGGTTGTATTTCTTACTGTCCTACTCTGTTTGACTGGAAAATTAAGTGGTAGTGGTGTTCAACTTAAATTGTTCCTTTTTCTTCCCCAAAGGAGTCGGGTTTTTGTCCTTGACCATAATGAGTGAGTCATCCCTCCCTGTCCTTGTCTGGATCCTGAAGCCTTTTGCTGTATTTTCTCCTCCCCATCCCTGAGGGAGAAGAACTGGGGAAGTGGCTGGATGGTGCTCAGTTGCCCTCTGGGCTCAAACCATGACAGATATAAAATGAAGAGACCTTAATGCTGACCTTACACAGAGCAATGAAATGAAGCTTATTCCAAACTCCAGAAAGAGATCAGGAAGTAGCAGCCACCCTATAGAAGGGCCAAAGCTCCCCTTCCCAGGCAGAGACCCCCGTTCTGCTTGGCCAAATTGGGGTACACTCTTTCAGAGTGTTTTGGCTTTTGCCTCAGGGGCAGAGATAAAAACTTCAAGCAATACCCAGGATTTTATGCAGTATGTGATGTGAACTCCCATGGTTTCAAAGTGGGAGATTCCCACTGAGGTTTTGAACAGGGAAAGGTCATACATTTTGAATTCGAGTCACTTCAGTGATGCAAACAACTCAAGCAAAGGGTTGCAAGCTTGTTCTTAGTTTACAGTGACCAACTTCACTGTGAAACATTTCTAATATCTGGTACTATAACTGGTAAATTTTCTTCTGATTAAAATATTTATTTTCTAGTATTTGTATTTTTACAGCACCTTATGCTTGCAAAAAATTCCTGATGGGTTTTTTTGCTCATCTGATAACACTGATAAAAGCTCTTTCCCTTCATGACCCTCAGAGACTTTTCCTCAGCCCCTCTGTCAGCTCTGTTTTCCTTGTTTTTTCCTTTAATCATACCTGGAGTCACTCAAACTGGTGCAGTGTTTACAATAATGTGCTGAAGCTTTTCAAGTCCATCTGATGAAACATTATTAATTATTCATAACAATATAATAAATCATTTAGATTTCTGCAGAAGGATTTATCACACTGTGTCGCCTGAATCTCTTCTCTTTCGAGGTCCTATTTGTCATCCACAAATACCACTGGCAGAACTCTACTGGAAAACACGTTTCTGCCAGTAAGACCTCAGGAGGTGTGAGTAACCTCTGATGACAGGATCATTTTTGCAGGGTAAATTCAGCACAACTGCAAAGCTTCTTGAGGAATATTTCCTGGAATTAAAAATGCTAACAAAGATTGAAAACTCAGTAACAGAAATACACGGGAATAAAATGGTCTTCTAACTATGGATGAGGGGCATATGCAGAGAATTTAAACTGAGCATCAGTAGTAGTTAGAAATTTATGCTCTTTTGAAAACATTGCAGTTAGATATAAAGAAGATTTAATTACTTCCTATCAAGAACTCAGGGTTGGTCCCATTCTTTCCAATGTGTTAGATGGAGAAGTGATCTATTGCTGAAGAACTTTTCAACCATTATTAGAAGAAAAGGATCTAGCCCACCTCTTCAAAAACAGTATATTCATTGTATAACACCCATTTTAGTGAGACACTAAGACTGGTCTAGAGAAGTCCCGAGCAACTACAGGTCTTACCTGCCTTCACATGGGCTTGTGGCTCTCTGCTTCTGACAGCGAGGCCCTCAGGGATTTTATTTTAAGTTTTCTATTAAGCACAGATCACAGAAAATTAGGTTTATGGTCAAACAATGCTTTTTTCTTTCCACCCTCTTAATATTTTTAATCAGTCTCCAGTACTGCCATAATGGTGACTGCTTTGACCTTGACTCTTTAATCTTCCGAGCACAATACCGATTCCCATTAAGTCAACTGCAGCTGCTTAACTGGCAACAGCATTTAAGCCAATTACTGCACTGTGAAAGGGGACAGAAAACTCCCATGGCTGTTCAGCTAAAACAGAAATACCAAAATTCTCTCACCAGTCCTCCCTGGTGGAATGGAATTCAGCGAAGTAAGACCTTAGCTTAAACCACTGTTTTCTTTAAGCTGTTAGTCAGAGCTCAGTTGTTATTATTGCTACTATTCTGTAAGACCATGCTTTCTTTAAAAGAATGCTTCTTACTGATACTTCACTTTTGTAAACTCATATTCTTCAATCTCTGTTTGCCTCTGAGGCCTACCTTTTCTAGTGTAGGAAAAATCAATAGCTGTCTGCATTCTGCCAGGACACAGTGGCAATTTCCCCCCAATAAACTCATAGTAAATTGGGTATTCCTGTCTTCCCTACCAAAGTGACAGCAAAGTGTATAGCAAAAGTCCACTGGAATCTCCAGACTCGGTATTTGAAGGCTGAACTTCTTTCTTGGGGATGGTCTGAACTAACATCTGAAGAAATTTTTCTTCACTTTGTTCTCAGACTAGGTAACCTTGTCTGACTCTTTGGTGCCATGTCTTTCCTCTGTGAGCCTCCTTTCATTTAGCAGCATGCTCACAGGAACTTAACCAGCTCCATAGAAAGAGCTGAGCACTGGAAGACAGCTCTGGCAGGTAAGAGCAATGAAGGACTGAAAATTTCAACAAATCTCCAGGAGGTGCAATAACACTGAATGCTCAGCACATTGTCATCTTGCCTGTCATTCTTAGGTCAGTAATAGAAATCAATTTCTATATGAAACCATCAGAACCTGAAGAGCTAGAATATTGCTGCAGGTGTCGGATGTCCTTTTTTTCGAAAGCCCTCTCATGCCAATTTTTAACAATCAGGGGAGTTCTCGGTTCTGCACATAAGGTATGACTTCTTTTTGTGCACAATATGAGAATTCAATTACTGTGGGACCTATTCAAAGAACAGAACTTGAAAGCTTCAGCATAAATTCAAGTGGTGTTCAAGATGGATAATACGCTTCAGTCACTAACATCTGCATATCCAAAATACTGTACTATCCAACAGAGCAATCAAGCCCTTCTGCATAAACTCAGCAGGGCTGCTCTCCAGTCTGCTGGCTAAAAGGTCAGATGTTAAACTGACTTGCCCATATTACAGGAAAGCTTAGAAACTAGCAGAAGAAAATAGGCCTTATGTAGACGATAGCAAGGGTTAGAATAGTACATAATTTGAAAAGAATTAGTGACGACAGCATTAGGGTAATAAAATACAGTAAACACTTTTGCTGGCTCTTACACTATTGATAAGTAAAACTACACTGAGTCCATTATTTCATTTTATAGAATATACAAAACTATGTCTGCATTTTATCTAGTCACTTAGCTTGAAAACATAAATGGAAAGTGCTGATCGTGATGGATTTTTACTACATATTTATTTCAATGAACTGAGAAATATGAAAAAACTACCGGTTTTGGCTGATACAGAATCCTGTTTCCTTCTGCCTCTAATGTAAAAATGAAAAAGCTGAAGCACTTAAACACTTTAAAAATATATACTGAAATCCTAGATGTACTTTGGCCATTCCGCACTGCTGTGGAGGTTAGCCTTGAATTGCTTTTTGATTTTATGCCAATTAACCCAATCATACATGAAGAATAAAGTCTAAGCAAGATAACATGGTCCATTTTAAAGTTAAAAAAACATAACACCATTCCTGAAACAGATTTATCTACATCCTTGTGCACAGATCGCAACAGCAGCTGAAAATCTCTTGGTTCCATCCTGTGAACAAGTAATACAAAACTAAAGGTGATTTAGCCCCATCCTGTTAGTGGCAAACCAACTACCAAACAAAGCATAGCTCAATTTGTACTTTCAAACCTCATTTTTTTGATGGGCAGCCTGTTTATGTGTTCACAGATGCTACAATGTTTTACTCCAGGTTTACACTGTAAATATCACCACTTCATCCACATGCCTACAGTCTCATTCAAGTTACACATGATTATGCATTTTATCCTTCATCAACACTATAGATCTAAGGCATCCCTCACGGTTCACAGAAAGTGCTACTCACACAGACATTAAAGCCCTAACTGGGAATGCTAGATTCACTGCCTGTATTGTCTGCATATACAGAAATGGGACTTCACTGTTAAATTTTCAATCCTAAACACTGCAGAAAGGTTATTGGTAGGGTAACAAAGTACAGGTGGCTGTAGGACCCAGTTTACCAAGAAATAATCCCACACAGCCTTATTTAATGAATTAAATACCAAAGAAGCCAACTGGGGGTTCTATGGACTTGAAAATACTAGGCATACTTTTAAGGCTGTCACATTTTAAATTCATTTTTAACGAATATGGACATCTGTCTGCCCTTCCCCACCACAGCAAAGCCTGATTTAAATATGAGTATAAGGAAAAGGCAACGTGTGTGTGAACAGGGCAGCCAGAGCAGAAGCATATTCATTATGTCATATTGGACATAGTCTTTCTTTTGGCAAGTATGACACATGATGAAGGAAATATACCCAGCTTGATCAGAGGTACAGATAAAGGTTATCATGTTAATTCTGAAACTGACACCTTTTTTTTTTTTTTTTTTTTTTTTTAATAAGAGTATTTTTTTAAACAGTAACAATAACAGAATCAATCAAAGTAACAGATGGTTATACCAAAGATCCTTCTTTTTTTTTTTTAGCAACACCCTATTTTTATTATGGTTCAAACAGGAATTAATGGACGTATTCAATATCCTTGACCTCTAAGCATGATTTTCCTTTAAGTGTTTTGCTTTTGAAAAAGTAAGAAGTACTGTAAATACAGTTCTGCTGTATCTGCTTCCCAAATATAAATATTAAATATTTATATATAATATAATATATAAATATTTAATATTTATATTTTAATATATAATATATATTATATATATTATATATAATATATAATATATATATTATATATAAATTCCCAAATATATATATTAATTCTAAGGAAAACTCAATCATTGCTATATGCTCTTTTCCCATATTTTGTTTCATTCCATACAATCATTCTGTAATCAGTGAAAACATAGAGGTTAAGTGTAACAACATTTCTTTTGCAGTATTGCCTCTTTCATGCTTGGGAGGATTGCAAACAGTTTAGAAAAGAAAAATAGCTACTGGACCACTGTTGGAATAATATTACATGTATTCAGTGGCTACTGTGCTGTCAGGTGTCATTAACATACAAAAGTGTTTGCTGGACAACATCAATCTCCTTGATCAAATTTAGTTTTGGACTTTTCAGGTATTCCTCATCAGAACTACTCTGTGAATGGTTGTGATTAAGCACACATCCCCTTTCAACTCCCCCAAGGGTCAGGCACATGCAGAATGGCCCACTTTCCTCCTTGAGAACCAGCCAAACCACAGAGCAAATACTGAAAACACTCTTAGTGACAAGCTTCTGTTAGCCATCCTAACTGCTGCAAACATACAGTCATCAGGTGCAAGATCTTTAATCTTTTCTCCACATCAAGATGCAGTTACATCATAACTTTTTCACTCTTGCTACGATTAATTTTATTTTACCCCAGCCACGCCTCTTTCCACTAGAGCTAATGCTACAAAAAATAACATTAAGAAATATGTATGTGTGAATCTACTAAAGTTGAAACATATATTCACCAAAAAGTATATGTCCAGCTTATTGTTCCATTGAAAAACTTCAGAAAGTATGAATATTTTCCAGCTTAATCAAATGTAATGCACTGAATAACTCATTGAAAGCTGTTCAAATGATCAGTATTACCATTTCTTATTCTAATTTTTTCAAAGTGGGGGTTAGCAGATACTGTAATAGACAACAACGGTTGTTGCTATGTATGTATAGTACTGCAGACTCAAATGGATCGCACTAAATGTTCCTTTTTATTATATATTGCTACAGATATTTGCTTACTTGAAAACCCATTAGGGGAATTCCACTGGTGTGAATGAAGACAGTAGTGGTCCCACTCACTTAGCACACTGTATGTGTACTAGCAAAACCCAGCACATAATATTGATGGACTTAGCCATTTTGGTGCTGCTATATTTGTTTATAAGGAAAACAGTGGAAAGTAGGTAGTGTACAAAGCCATGTTTTTATTTGCAGACTTCAAGAAGCACTGAAATGTAATAGTGACCTCAGTTGCATTGACACTCCCCAGTACCAAAATTTCCCAAAATGAGATTTCAAAACAGCGTGGTTTTGTTTTGTATGTGTCGTTGCTTCAAGATAAAAAGAGTTGCTGCTTCTGCAGCTTTCAAGCTTTATCTACCTACAAAGTTAAGAACAAAATTTGCTAATTACATGCAAAAAAGGCAGCGAATTAAGCTTTGTTGTTTAGTTTTTGATCTAAAGCATTCTGCATTGTCTAGAGGACTTAGCAGGAAAAATTATACATAATGCATAATAACTTCAGAAAAGTATGAATGGATATAATCTCAATAATCTCTGATATAATCATTCTCTGATACACATAGAAAAAACAATGCCATGATAACGCAAATCTCCTTGCTTCCCATTGCAGAGATGGCAGAAGAACTTCAAAAGTTTTGCCTAGGTTTGTGCCTTTATTCTTAACATAAAACTCTACCAATATTTAGTCTAATCAAAGCCAACAGATGAATACCATTCAGTCTTTCTTCTAGTAGTACTTCTAGTATTTCTCTTTTCAGCTCGGAATTACTGAAAGACTACCCTTTCCACAAAGTTGATCAAACAACTGGGAAGCCTGCCATGTGAGGAAAGGCTGAGAAAACTGGGTTTGTCCAGTCTTGAGAAGAGAAGACTTTAGGGAGACCTTATCACTATGTTCCAGTATTTAAAGGGTGGCCACAAAGAAGATGGAGACTCCCTTTTTACAAGGAGTCACATGGAAATGACGAGTTTTATTGGGTACAAGTTACTCCTGGGGAGATTCCGACTGGACACAGAAGCAAAATTTTTCACAATGAGAACAATCAGCCACTGTAATAACCTCCACAGGGAAGGGGTAGATTCCCAGTATCAGACAGATATTTAAGATTCAGCTGAACCATCTTGTCTAGATCATGCTTTTTCCAAGAAAGGTTGGACCAGATGATCCTTGAGGTCCCTTCCAACCTGGTATTCTACAGTTCCACAATTCTATGCTTATTTAGTAAATTAAGTTACAGTTATGTCAATAACTGCTTTTTCAGTTTGCTAGCTTAGCAAATCAATTCACACCTTCTGTTCAACTGGAAATGGGAATACTTTTCCCTCCTGGTACTCCTACCTCTCTTCCTCCCCCCAAGTATTTTGAGCTAAATGAAACAATTTATATTACTTCGCTTTGTAATTTGTATGAGGTCAAAGTAAAAATTTTCTCAAATTCCAGTAAGAAAGTACTTAATTTTTAACATGAAATTTTTCATTTTCCTGGATTTTTTTTTTAATCTTTGTGTTTGTTCTCCCTCCTTCCTTTTTGACAGCTTGTGTGTGTGTGACAGAAATGGCCATTAAACTCAGCATAATTTGCAGATAGTTTCATATAATCTAAAAGCTATAAATAATTTACCAGAAAACAACAGCTTTATGAAGCTCTTTCGACAGCCTTTTAATTACAACTGGGCAAAACAGAGGAGAGGTGAGAAAATTGAAACATGATTATTTTATAAACAAAACAACAACAATTGTGCTCCAGTTCTAATGAAGAGATTTCACTCATTTTCCAATTTGTTTGGATCCTCTTGTCTTTGAAGGGGATGTCACCCCAAACTCAGTAAATGTTTCTTTTCAGAAAAGTGACCTTTATGCTAGCACGCACACTTTGCATAGTAGCAGTAGGTTATGTATATTCCTCACTGATCCCTTGGCAGCCTAAGGACTGCCAGTGGACTGTGCAGTTCACCATAAATTTAAAGTAATCATTGGAGTTCGTATCATTCAAGGTATAGATTCTGAACAGAGACACTTTTTGGACAGTGGGAATAAACCACATGTTAGCAATTCAGACATATATAGTAAATGACATTTGGGGTGTCATGACGCTCTTACTGACCTGTTGTAGAAATACTGGATAAAGTATTTGTTGGGAATGTTTTCACTCTCTCCTCTTTGAAAATGCCACTAGCCTTTCAGCAGGGCACTGGAGCGTAAGAGGACGTTTGGGCAGCATGGCATGCTATGGTCAAGGGAAATGTCCCATTAAGCAATTATATTAATTATAAATTGCCTCTAAGAGGCATACGCTTGCACAGCAGATTACATTCTTCCCAGAAAAGATGGTACAGCCAGAAGAATAAGCTGTTCCTTCCAAAACTCCTACTGGATACGCTTATCAAATTCAAGTTATTTCCATCATAAAGGCTCTCATTAAAGAACATATTTGTATGGCACCACAATTTTAACACAGGTTTTATTGCTACAAAAGAAGACTCAGATTAATTGTTGATATCATACAGCATTATTGACACAAATGTTGTGATGCTTTTGTTTGACTCAATAACAGATGGCTCCGTATATTCACATGGAGCAATATACGCTGTCTATCTAAATTCCCAGCATGCCCACCTATTTTTCAGTTGTGACAAAGACCTGGGGTGTCTTTTCCAAAGGTGCCAAACTAATTTGGAAATTAAGGAGTTCAAAAGACAGTCCGTTAAATAAGATCTCAGACTGATCTGTAGAGCTATTCAGTTTACATAAGGGTGCTGGCATCCCCAGGCCCAGCTGGCTGCCTAGTGTAGGTGTTTGGATCTGCAAATTAGGCCCTGGATATAATTCAACACCTCGCATTTCAGAAATGATAGATGAGCTTGGTTTTCTAGCTGAAAAGCTGATAGAGTATCATTCATAAAAATAAAGAAGCGTTTTTTTACTTGGAGAACATGTCCTGGAATATATTTCTGATTGTCATCAGAGAGACAAGGAGGCTCATAATAAGGATGATTTGTTTGCCATTAATCACTGTAAACACCAGAAAAGAAAAAAGTTTTAAAATAGATAAAAGCTCATATCAGAGACAGTTTTCTGTATTCTACCCTCTGCTTTAGCAAGTTGTTTTATTTTTAAGAAGGCACTTAGTTGTGGGTGATAATAACAGAAAGTGTGTATAAAATCTTGATCACTTGGTAGAAGGAGGCTATCTTGATACTTCGAGATTTTTCAAGCAGGAAACAGAAAAAGATGTATTTCATGGCAAGTATGGCCTGGCGAAGAACTTGATCTTTCCCAATTCACAGCTTTAGAATAAAAGTAGAACCGGACACTGGGGTATGTACTTACACTTGTGCACACACCACACACACCCCCCCGCAGCAGACCTGGAGGAAGATATTCTCTGTCCCTGGCACAACAGTAGGGCAATTACAAGAAGGTTTTTAGAGGAGCTGAAATTTCAGTTCCTTGATTTTAAGGGGTACTGAGAAGACCCTTGAGCCCTGTGGTGCTGCTGCAGGCTATGGGTGAGCAGGTAGACATGAAGGAAGGAGAATCTTAAGCCTTGACTCTATGTCCAAGGCACTGGGCAATGAAGACGAGCGGGCTAAGGACCAGTTTATTTTATGACAAATGAAGTAAGCAGAGGTCAACAGTAAACTGGCACTGTTATGGCTTAACTTAAAGCTTAGTAATATATCTATGTTATTGATGCCAGTCGT